AGATTAAGAAAAAAAGAAGACTCAATAAAATTCAAAGTGCAAGATGAAACATTATACCTGATGCCACAGAAACAAAAATAATCATGAGACTACCATGCCCAATTATAGGACAATAAATTGAATAACCTAGAAGGAAAGAAGAAATTCCTAGAAACATATAACCTATTAAGACTGAGTCATGAAGAAATATAAAATCTGGGCAGACCTATAACTAGTAAGGAAATTGAACAAGCAATCAAAAACCTTCCAACAAAGACAAGTCCAGGACCAGATGGCTTCACTGGTGAATTATACCAAACATTTCAAGAATATTTAATTCCAGTTCTTATATATGGTCTTTATTAAACTATTCTTAAACTTAAACTCTTCTTAAAAATTAAAGGGGAGAAAACACTTTCAAACTAATTCTTTGAGGCCAGCATTACCCTCATACTAAAGTGAGGTAAATACTACAAGCAAAGACAACTATAAGACAATATCCCTGATAAACATAGATGTAAAAATCCTCAACAAAATACTAGCAATTCAAATTCATCTCTACATTAAAAGGATCATACACCATGACCAAGTGGCATTTATCCCTGGAATGCAAGGTTGGTTCCAAATACAAAAATCAACTAAAGTGTAACACTACTTTAACAGAATGAAGGGTAACAATTACACAGTAATTTCAATAGATACAGCAAAAGGATTTGACAAAATTCAACATCTTTTATGATGAAAACTCTCAAACTAGGAACAGAAGGCAATTACCTCAACATAATAAAGACAGTATATGAGAAGCCCATAGCTAACATCATACTCAGTAGTAAAAAACTGAAAGCTGTTCCTCTAAGATCAGGAAGTATGCTGAATACTTTTATTCAGCATAGTCCTAGTCACAGCAATTAGGCAACAAAAAAATAAAAAGCGTCTAAATTGAAGTAAAATAATCTGTTTGTGCAGATGACATGATCTTATATGTAAAACACTCTAAAGACACCATAAGGCCGGATGTGGTGGCTCACACCTGTAATTCCAGCAATTTAGGAGGCCGAGGCGGGCACATCACATGAGATCAGGAGTTCAAGACCAGCCTGGCCAACATGGTGAAACCCCTTCTATACTAAAAATACAAAAATGAGCTGGGCGTGGTGGCAGGCGTCTGCAGTCCCAGCTACTCAGGAGGTTGAGGCAGGAGAATTGCTTTAATCGGGAGGTGGAGGTTGCAGTGGGCTGGGTTCATGCCACTGCACTCCAGCCTGGGTGACAGAGCGAGACTCTGTCTAAAAACACACACACACACACACAAACAAACATATTTGAACGATTAAATGAATTCAGTAAAATTGTAGATTATAAAATCAACATACGAAAATCAGTTGTGTTTCTATGTACTAGCAATAAACTACCTGAAAAGGAAATAAAACAATCTCATTTACAATATCATCAAAAAGTATAAAATATTTAGGAATAAACTTAAGAAGATATGTATGCTGAAAAACAATGATGAATAAAATTTAAAAAGAAATGGACGCACATCCCGTGTTTATGAGTTGGAAGACTTAATATTGTTAAAATATCCATACACCCAAAGCAGTCTACAAATTGGATGCAATCTCTATCAAAATCTCAATGGCATTTTTTAATAGAAATAACAAAGCAACCCTGAAGTGTATATGGAACTACAAAGAAGCTCAAATAGCCGAAACAATCTTGAGAAGAACAAAGTAGGAACATCATACTTCCTGATTTCAAAATACATTGTGATGCTATAGTAATTCAAACAGTATGGTACTGTCATAAGATAAATGAATCCATACATATATGGCCAACTTATCTTTGACAGGATAGAGTACCAAGAATACACAATGAGGAAAGGATACTTTCTTCAACAAATGCTGTTGGGAAAACTGAATATCCACATACAAAGTAATGAAATTGGACATTGACACTAATACACAAGAATTAATTCAAAATGGATTAAATACTTACATATAAAACTCCTAGAAGAAAACGTAGGGGGAAAGCTTCATAACATTAGTCGTAGCAGTGATTTCATGGATATGATACCAAAAGTGTAGGCAACAAGAGCAGTAACAAGTGAGACATTATCACTTCTGCACAGCAAAAGCTTCTGAACAGCAAAAGAAACAATCAACAGAGTAAAGAGACAACATACCAAAATGGAAGAAAATATTTGTAAATCATACATCTGATAAAGGAGTAAATAACTAAAATGCATGAGGAACTCTTATAACTGAATAGCAAAACTAAACAAAAAAGGCAACCTGATTTAAAAATTAGACCAATAACTTGAATAGATATTTCTCCAAAGCAGCAGCAGCAATAGCCAACAAGCATATGAAAAAATGCTCAACATCATTAATCATCAGGAACAGGCAAATCAAAACCACAGTATCACCTCACACTTGTTAAAAGGGCTATTACCAAAAAACAAAAACAAAAGATAACAAATGTTGGCAAGGGTGTGGATAATTTAGAACCCTTGTACACTGTTGTTGGGACTATAAAATGGCACAGCAGCTATAGAAACAGTATGGAGGTGTCTCTAAAAATTGAAAACAGAATGACCATGTGGTCCATCAGTCCCTGTGTGAATATCCAAAATAATTAAAATCAGGATCTCAAAGAGATATTAGCACTCCCTTATTCACTGCAGCATTATTCATAGTAGCCGAGATGTGGAAAAAACCTTAATGTTTGTTGATAGATGAATGGATAAAGAAAATGTGATGTATAAATGCAATGGAATATTATTCAGCCTTAAGAAAGAAATCCTGCAATTTGTGACAGCACGGATGAACCTTGAGGACGTTATGTTAAATGAAATAAGCCAGTCACAGAAGGTCGAATACTTGATATTTCCACTTATATAAGTTATCTAAAATAGCCAAACTCATAGAAGCAGAGAGTAGGATGATGTTTGACAGGATCTTGCAGGAAGGGAAAATTGGGAGTTGCTATCAATCCATATTAAGTTTCACTTACACATGTAGAAGTGAGCTCTAGAGAGCTGCTATAGAATGCTGTGCCTTTAGTTAACAACACTGGATTGTACACTTAAAAGTTTGAGTGTAGATCTCATGTTAAGTGTTCTAACTATAAAAGGAATTTTAAAAATTAAAATGTTTAAACTTTTAAAATTTAAAAATCTTGAAACAAGGAAATTAAGTAGGAGGAAAAAGAATCAAGGAGAAATAGGAACAAGGAGAGGAAAATATTTTTAAAAATCTTCATTGAGATAAGAAAATGTGTATTTTATCCATTAAATAAGAATAGGATGCTATAAAAAAGAGGCTGTTCTAAGAACAATGAAATGCAATAGCAGAATGGAAAACTCAGTAAAGGGATTAAAATATTAAGTTGAGATTTACCAGAAAAAAAAATCGTAAGAAAAAAAGGAGGGAAAAAGGAGAAAATAAAGAAAAAAAGATTAAAATTTAGAGAAAAAAATATAAGAACAGTATATGAAATCCAACATCAAACAATAGGAGATCCAGGAAAAGATAATGGAAAAAAGGGAAGAAAATTATCAGTAAATATTCAAGAACATTTTTTGAGCTATAAATTGTGAGTTTCTGGGTTAAAAGGACCATAGTGTGCCTAGTACAGTAGATGAAAAACACCAAGGCACAGCATTATGAAATTCTAAAACACCAGGGAGTGGAATAAATGGAATGGATTTATGCAATTTGGTAGTGTTTGAGATTAAATAGATTAAAACATGTATAGAGACCAGGAGTGGTGGCACACGCCTGTAATCACAGCACTTTGGGAGACTGAGGCGGGCGAATCACTTGAGGTCAGGAGTTCGAGAGAAGCCTGGCCAACATGGCGAAACTCTGTCTCTACAAAAATACAAAAATTAGCCGGGCATGGTGGTGGGTGCCTGTAATCCCAGCTACTCAGGTGTCTGAGGCAGGAGAATCACTTGAACCGAGGAGGCGGAGGTTGCAATGAGCCGAGATCACACCACTGCACTCTAGCCTGGGCGACAGAGCAAGACTCTGTCTCAAAAGAGTGTGTGTGTATGTGTGTGTGTATGTATAAAACTAAACAGATGAGGAAAGGGACTTGTATTGACTCCAGGAAAAACAAAAGGTGGTTTTGATATACCACCAGAGTAAACAGCATTTTTATAAACATTTTATCATCATATGTCTATATGAATATTGATCTAACTTAATATATGATATAACACTATAGATACAATGGGGGGGTAGGAAAGGTGGGGTGGGCGAATATACAGGGAATAGTCTTATTCTTCCATAGTGGGAAATCACTAGAAAACTTAAAACTGATATTAAGGTAATAGCAGTTTATGTACAGTTTGTCCCTTGGTATCCATGGAGGTTGGTTCCAAAACCTCCCTTGGATACCAAAATCTGTGGATGCTGAAGTCCCTGATATAAAATGGCATGGTATTTGCATGTAACCTGTGCACATCCTTCTATATACTTTAAATAATCTTTAGATTACTTATAATACTTAATACAATGTAAATGCTATGTAAATAGTTGTTATACTGTATTGTTTGGAGAATAATGACAAGAAAAAAAAGACTGTGTATGTTGAGTATGGATGCAATTTTTTCCTGAATATTTTCAGTCCATGGTTGGTTGAATCCACAGATGTGGAACTCATAGATACAAAGGGCTGACTGTATATTATTTAGTGATGTGATTTTTAATGGTACATAGGTATAACATATATAAAATATAACAGGCAGCTCACACGTGTGCTACCTGTCTCTTAGATCAATAATTCTTATGGTGGAAAAGTCTAGAAAGGAAGGCAGGGTAAAAGAACCAGAATAGACCATAGATTATTTAGTATATTGATCTGTCAAAGCTTATTTTTTTTCTGTCTCATCCAAAACCTTCAATTATAATACCATCATTTGGTATGGGCTGGGGACCTAAGGTGGGGTAGGAAGGAACCCATCATTTGTAGGCTGCTGTTTAAAGTCTTACGCTATTTCTTCTCTGCTGTTTTAGACTGGGAGTGTCCCAACTTGGAAGAACACATGCAGTGGAAGAATTCTACTCTTCTGGATACCAGTAAAGCAGTAGCGATAGAGAAGGCACCACAGTTTTCAAATGTCTCTGCAATTTTAAGTGAGTTGCACACACGGGGGAACATTTCTTATCTATGTTGGAAAAGCAAAGGATTTTTTCTCTTGAATGATTTCTAAGCTAAGTTTATCAGTTGGATTACCTTTGGCTACAGATAATATCTAATAATAGCAGAAGTATGTTTAGTTTACTTTTTAAATTTATTTATTTTGAGACAGAGTCTTACTGTTTTGCCCAGGCTGGAGTGCAGTGGCACAATTTAGGCTCACTGCAACCTCTCTCTCCCAGGTTCAAGCAATTCTCCTGCCTCAGCCTTCCTAGTAGCTAGGGTTACAGGTGCGTGCCACCACACCCAGTTAATTTTTGTATTTTTGTAGAGATGGGGTTTCACCATGTTGGCCAGGCTAGTCTTGAACTCCTGACCTCAGGTGATCTGCCTGCCTTGGCTTCCCAAAGTGCTAGGATTACAGGTGTGAGCCACTGCTCCCGGGCACAACAAGTAATTTAAACAATTTTTTGTAGAGATGGAGTCTCGCTATGTCGCCCAGGCTGGTCTCAAACTCCTGGCCTCAAGCAATTCTTCTACCTTGGCCTTCCAAAGTGCTGAGATAATAGGCATGAGCCATTGTACTCAGCCTTTTATAACTTTTTATTTTGAACTATTTTTAGACTTTTCATTTAGTCTTTCTTTTTTCTGTTTCATGATCCATCCTGGATCCCATGTCACATTTAATTTTTACTTCTCCCTAGTCTCCTGCAGTTTGTAATTGTTCCTCAGTCTTTCAGATTACTGATGAGTTATTTTGTAGAATGTCCCTTGGTTGGGATTTGTCTTGATGTTTCCTCATGATAGGAATGAAGTTATGGCTGGGTGCAGTGGCTGACACCTGTAATCCCAGCACTTTGGGAGACTGAGGTGGGAGGACTGCTTGAGGCCAGGAGTTCGAGACCAGCCTGGGCAACATAGTGAGACCTGTATCTCTACAAAAAATAAAAGAGCCAGATGTGGTGGTGCACGCCTGTAGTCCCAGCTACTCAGGAGGCTGAGGTGGGAGAATGAGAGGATCACTTGAGCACAGGAGGTAAAGGCTATAGTGAACCATGTTTGTACCACTGAACTTCTGCCTGGGTGACAGAATATGGATATTCTGAAAAAAAAAAAAAAAAAAAAAGAATGAAGTTATGCAGTTTTTGGTAAGAGTACCACAGAAATTATGTTGTGCCTTTGCAGTGTATCATATCGTATCAAAGGGTTCATGTTGTCCTCTCATTTTTATTTGAAGAATATTATGTCTTATTACTGGTGATGTTAAATTTCATCATTTGGTTAAGGTGGTATCTGCTGAATTTCTCCAATTAAAAATTGCTGTTTTCTCTTTGTAATTTTTGAATATCTACAAAAAGATAGTTTGAGACTGTAAACTCTCTTTCTTCTGAAACTGTATTTCACTAATTTTAGCAGCCATCAGAGCAGCCAGTTGACTTCAACCTTTATTACTGTGGTGTTTGTCCAATGGTGATTTTTTATTCTATGCTTTACTGCTACTTTTATTAATTGGAATTCTACTGTAAAAGAAGAACTTTCTCTTTTCTGCCATTTGTTTATTTATTTGATTACTAATTCAGTGTAGACTCATGGATATTTATTCTATGGTTTGAAATCCAATACTTTCATCATACGTTCATTCATTTATTTATTTATTTGTATATTTATTTATTTATTTTTTTCTAGTATATATAGAGTAGTTTCAGAAGTGTTAACCCAGGCCCCTGTAAGAAACACATTTAAGTAAATAAATTACAGCATTTGCATACAGTTCTTTTTGTCTTTAGCATTACAGCATCCAGTCAAAATACTAATTTTCCAAAGTTATGTAAGTTCATTTTCTCCCCACCTCCCTTAACATATGAGAAGTTATTCACTTGTAATATGTATAGCTATACTCATTTGTTATTGATCCACTTTTGCATTCACCTGTCCTGTTTGGTTTTGTGTATGTATTTAGGAATATGAAATATTACTATGGTTTTAGAGTCATAGCTATATAAAAAGATATTCTCAGAAAATTATCACTTTCTCCTGCTTCCTGCTACCATTCTTCTCTTCTTTCTACCCCTTTCTCACTTACCCACTGTGGGTAACTGGTCTTTTTAGTTTTTGGCTTATCCTTCCTGTGTTTCTTTTGTACAAATGAGGAGATCTCAATGTATTTCTTTATATCCTCTTCTTTGTTACATGAAGGGTACCATGCTATATAGCTACTCTTCTTTCACTTTAACTTTCCACCTAACAGTATGTACTAGAAATCACTCCACATCAGTTTACATAGAGATCTTCCTCTTATTTTTTACAGCTGCATAGTACTCCACTCTGTGGATGTACTTTTGTTTATTCAAAAATACCTATATATTGGGTATTTAGGTTTTTCCCCAATATTTTGCCATTATAAACAATACACAATGAATAAACTTATGATATATATTTTCATGTTATTGGTAGTGTGTCTTCAAGGTAGATTTCCAGAGGTAGGATAGCTGGGTCAGAAGGTTATCATTTTATTGGATATTGCCAAATTTTCCTCCAGAAGAATTATAACAGTTTGCATTCCAAACAGCAGTGTGTTAAAGTGCTGGTCTCCCTATATCCTTACCAACAGAATGTGCTGTCATTTGTTTTTACAATTTTGCTACTCTCAAAGGTGACAAATAGTATCTCTGTGCTATTTTAACTTGCATTTCCATAATTACATGTGAGTTTAAACATTTTTCATATGTTTAAGGGCCATTTTTATTTGAAGAATATTGGCCTTTTGTCTGTGGTATATATTATGAATATTTTGTCCCAGTTTCTTGGTTGTCTTTTTGTTCATGGTATTTTTTTGTCATGCAAAATTTTTTAAATTTATATTGGGTTTATGTTTCTCCCATACCAGCCCAGAGCTATGTAGCAACTCACTAATATCATCAAGATCATAGGGTCTTATGTCAACATACAACCAAGTGTGTTGGTTTGTTACCCCATAGTTGCAAGGTGGTTGCTAAACTCTAGGTGTCACAGCCATGTTCCTGGTAGAAAGAATGAGAGAAGGCTGAGCGCCACATGTATCCTTTTATTGAAAGAAGAAAAGCTTTCCTAGAAATTCCCAGCTGACTTCTACTTTGGTCTATTGGCCAGAACTGGGTCATGCATTTATCTACCACCAGGGAGGCTGAGAAACCAAGTATTTTGCTTTCCTATCCTCTATTGTGGTAGAAGGCAAGGAAAATGAAGAAGGGGAGTAAGAACGGATATTGGCAGCCCATCTATTAGAGCCTGCCACTAAGAAAGGGTCATATTAGTCAAAGAACATTGAGTTAGGGGTCCTTTATTGGAAAGTTGATAGCTGTCTAGATGGCAATATTTCTAGTGTTTGAAGGCCTTGTCTTCTGTTTTATGTTTAGTTTGGCAACTCCTTTGCTGAAATAAAGTTCTCAAAGAAGCAGCCTGTCTCTTTAGCAAATGTTTTGGTTAGGATTCTTGTCCATTGCAAATGTCAAAAAACTAACAGTATTAGGTTAAAAAGGGAATTTGTTACCACATGTGCCTGAAAAATTCAGCAATAAATCAGGTACATAGGCAATTTGATCCAGGGTTTCAAATGGTAGGATCCAATTCCTCTCTATCCCCTGGCTCAGGATCCCTCTATGTCAGTTATGCTCTTAGACAAGTCCCTTCTTGGAGCAACTTTTGCTGGCTCTGGGCTTACATACTCACAATACATTGAAAAAAGTGCTTCTCTTTCCCAACAATTTGAACTGAAGTCCTGGACCTTACACATGGGCTTCATTAGTTTATGTGCCTTTCCCTGAACCAGTCACTTTGTCCAGGGAGATACAGGGCTCTCACAGCATTGAGTTATAGGCTATGCCTGGACCATCAGGGAAAAAAAACGAGGCAACTCTTACCAGCAAAAACAGAATAGATGCTAGATGATAAGGGTCCACTGTATATGTTTTGAGAACCTCCCTTTGAGGAAATGCTTAAAGGCATCATTCACTTTGTCTCCTCTTTAATTTGTGAGATTTAAAAATCCTAATCTAACATAAGCAAAGTACCAAAGCCACTAAAGGTTTTAATTTCTTTAGATAACTATACGCATGGTTCTTTATATTTCTATTAACATCTTAATGTACCTGAGGCAGTCAAATGTTGGCTGGCAGAAATTCTCTTGACTAATCAATCTACTAGTATGCGTTTCTGTATATTTGGTATTGGACTAGTATTTGACTATTAGTTTTCTATTTTTTTATTTTTTTGAGACAGAGTATCACTCTGTTGCCCAGGCTGGAGTGCAGTGGTGCAGTCTCGGCTCACTGCAGCCTCCACTTCCTGGGTTCAAGCAATTCTGGTGCCTCAGCCTCCCAAATAGCTGGGATTACAGGCGTGTGCCACCACGGCCAGCTAATTTCTGTATTTTTAGTAGAGACGGGGTTTCACCTTGTTGCCCAGGCTGGTCTTGAACGCCTGACCTCAGGTGATCCACCTGCTTTGGCTCCCCAAAGTGTTAGGATTACAGGCGTGAGCCACTGTACCCAGCCTAGTTTTGTAATCCGACCAGTTATTTTTTTCTTATATGTAAAATGGGGATAATAAATTGATATATTTACCTGACAGGATTGTTGTAAGAATCAAGTAAGATAATACATGTAAAAAGACTTCAAAAATTATAAAGAACTATTCAAATACAAGGGAGAGACTCCTGTATCTAGTAACATTTTGCAACATTTTTTTACTTTGATATTTTGAAAATATTTTTACCTAATTTAAGTGACAGACAAAAAAAAACAATATTTAAAAAGTTATAAAAATAAACTGCACTTGGGGGAAAATATTCATTTTTACCTAATTTTAGCCTCTGGTTTGTCTTCAAATTATATTTCTAATAGATTGCTTTTATTTTCTTTCCTAGGTACCTCTTCAGAAGACTATCAGAAATGCCACAGAGAAACGTAAGAATTAAAATCTTAAAATTGTTGAGCTTCTGAAACCCTGTATTATAATAGTTATATAGCAAATATGATTGTTAGTCCACAAACTCAGGTGTTCATTTATTATTTGTTGAGGACTCACTATATGTCAGGACTGTTGTAATTGCTAGAGATATAGTAGTGAACAAAATTGAAATTGATTAAAAACAAAAGCTCTGCCCTCAGCAATGATAGCAAAAAGGAAAAGTTTGAGAAAAATTCAAGAGGGATAGTCAATAGTTTTTAATGACAGATTGGAAGAAGTCGAAATCCAAGTTGGCCCTCAGCCCTCTGACTTAGGAAATTGGATGAAAACTTATTCACTAGGTGAGGGAACACAAATGAAAAAGCAGGAGTGGGTTGGGGTAACACTGAGGTACCGACAGCACTTTGAAGTGGAGGTGTCCAACAATGAGTTGGATGGCCCAGCCCAGAGAGCAAGGGAAAAGTCCTGGGCTGAAGGCATTGTTGTCTCCTTGGGAAATGTATGTAGCGTGAGAAGAGTGTAGCGTTAGTATGATAGCCTCTTTATGAATATTCCTGTATCTAAATGGTGAGAATTTTCTGAAGAAAATAAAATCTGTTACTGTTGTTTTTGGGTGAATTGTCCTTCAGTAAATGACAGTGAAAATTGTAAATATAAATGACTAAGGTCACCAGAGATGATGATGGAGTCACTTAAAAAAATTCCTTCCGCAATTTATAATATAATACATTCTTAAGGAGGATAGAATGGTATTTGGATAATAATGATACCAGATTTGAGCACCTATTGTCTACTAGACATCTGGTATTCTCTTTATTTAAGTAGCACATTCACAAAGTAAAACCCCTACAACTTTGACATAGTAGCTAATGGAGAAAGGGGGTTTTATTTATATTGCTATAACTTCTTTGCAGATCCACTTTAATGACTGTTGTCTATGTATTGAAATGGAGCAAATGTAATAAAACACTTGATTATGTGTATCTGAGACTATTTCCTGTCTCACCTAAATACTGACCTCTCTTTGAAAAATAAAACCTACCACTTATATGTGCAAAGAAAATATAGCTTCCTTTATTTTTTAAAATAACTCATCTAAACTTCTCTTAAACCCTCATCACCCTTCTCCCCTATTTAGCTGGGAAATAATGAGTTAAACTTACTTATTGTCATCCATTTACTTCCGGTTAGAAGTCCTTTTTGGGTGAATGCTGAACCTTAGATTTTCTCCCCATTCCATAGTCCTAAGAATGGCATATTGGTAAGCGATCATACCCCTTTATCTGCCTGGGCAGTCTCAGTATATGCCTGTTTTTCTGACATAATTCTTAACAGAGTACCCTTGTACTCTCAGAAATGTTCCAGTTTGGACAAATAGTCACCCTAAATGTAAGTGTGTAGGAATAGTGGCAGACCTTACGTAGCCTTGTAGCAGTGCTGGGGAAAAGGTAAAGTTAGGATCTGAGGGTATCTGGAATCCCATAACTGTCTCTGGATTTTTACTGATTCTTGCTGCAAGACTTCTAGACTGGTTCTATACCAGGTCTGGACTCCACTGAAAAAATCATTGACTCAAACTTAAGGCCTTATTTAGGACCTAAGGTCCTCCATTGCTGATTTTCCCTCACCTTGGTTTTTGTTGCTCTCCCAAACCCTTTGAGTCTCATTGAAGTCCTGTATCCAGACTTTGACTAGGTGGCTTTCTACAACCTTTGTAGTAGAGTCACCTCACCACAGCACTCCTATGCCAGGTGTTTTGGCTGTAAATTTGGCCACTTTCTTCATTGCTCTTGGTGTACGGAACCTTGAGAACTTGTTCTCAATGCCCAGGCATTAAGAGAATCGCAGGAGAGCTAACTGATGCCCCCTCTCTGCCTAAACATCCCCAGCTCTTCTTGTTATGTTGTTTCCACCCTGTATGGACATCTCCTAGAGTTCTAAACAGAGAGTTAGTACATACTCCCTCTTCTTTTGGCTTTCTCTTCACCTCTTCTAATGTCATCCTCCCATTTATTACCCCTGTCTCCATATTTGGGCCTTGAGGAGAAAAGTCAGCTCCCATTGTCTGCTTGTTTCCTAAGTCTTTGCCCCACTTCTCTTTGGAATAATGCTGTAGACTGGAAGGTGTGGAGGAGAGATCTATCTTTGTTAACTTCCTTAGCTTTTTCTGTATCATATGGTTGTCTTAGTCTGTTTTCTGTTGCTTATTACAAAATACCTGAAACTGGGTAATTTATAAAGAAAAAGAATTTCTTTCCTTTCATTTCCTTCCCCTTCCCCTTCCCCTTCCCCTTCCCCTTCCCCCACCACCTTCCTTTTTCTTTTTCTTTTCTTTTTCTTCTCTTTCTCTTTCTTTCTCTCTCTCTCCCCCTCCCTTCCTCTCTCTCTCTCTCTCTCTCTCCTTCCTTCCATCTGTCTGTCCATCTTCTTCCTCCCTTCCTTCTTTCCTTTCTTTCTTCTTTCTTTTTTTTTTAGAAACAGAGTCTTACTCTGTTGCCCAGGCTGGAGTGCAGTGGCACCATCATAGCTCACTGTAACCTTAAACTCCTGGGTTCAAGTGATCTTCCAGCCTCAGTCAGCCTCCTGAGTAAATAGGACTACAAGCATGTGCCACCATGCCTGGCTAGGAATTTATTTCTTACAGTTATGGAGGCTAAGAATTCTAAGGTCAAGGGGCTGCAGTTAGTGAGGGCCTTCTTGCTGGTGGGGACTCTCTGCAGAGTCCCAAAGTGGCACAGGGCATCACATAGCAAAGGGACTGAACGACTGAATATAGTAGCTCTGGTGTCTCTTTTTCCTCTTGTAAAGCCAATCATACCATTCCCATGATAACATATTAATCCATTACTTCATTAATCCATGAATGGCTTAATCCATTTATGAAGGCAGAGCATTCATGATCCAGTCACCTCTTAAAGTCCCTGTCTCTCAATACTGCCACATTGGGGATTAAATTTCAACATGAATTTTGGAGGAGACAAACATTCAAACCATAGCAATGGCTAATAGTAGAATTCTGTAGTTGTGTTTTAACTTACAGATGTTAATAGGAACTTGAGGAATGTAGCAAAATGTTAAATGTGGTTTTCATGTTGTCTTAGAGTTTGGACAATTGCCTTACTGATGAAAACAAATCATTGACAAGTACCCCCATTCCTTATTCTGTGTAGAATTATCTATGTGGAGTTTGTAAAAGGTGAGGTCAAAACCCAATTCTACCAGCATTAGCTTATTACTCATCTTCAAACTAAGAAAAGGCTAAGAAAAAGATGAAAAGTTCAAGAATACATATTTCTTTGATAAGAGCTATTATTGGTGTCATATGGAGCGAGGAGACTTCTCCCTCACCTCAATACAAGAAAGGAAGCTCCAAGAGGACCATTTGGAAGGTTCAACATATGTCCCTGGGAGTTACTTTCTGTCTCATACCTGAAAAGTCTAAAGGCAAGAGGGTCTGTTAGGTGCTTTGGAATGGCAGAATAAAGAGAAAGCTAGATATTCTTCCAGAGTTTGACATGACAAAGATTTGTGCATAATGCCAATAGGCCAAATATGGATTCCATAGAATGGGGCTAATTATGGATCATCTTGAAAGCGATTATGCCCAATATGACTTCCTGCAAAGGATGAAGTAACCTCACTCAAAAGCAGTTGAAGGTTCTGTCATCAAAGGCAAAAGCTGAGGAGGTGATAAAAAGCAGCAAGTGAGAGAGCTCCAGTGGTAGGTAGAGTTCCAGTGACAGGTAAACCTCCAAAGAACCCTTCAGAATACCTCAGGTTTGAAAGAGTCCACATTTGATTACCTGTCATATCCTAGAGATACCAATGGCCCATAACTGTTCAGTCAAGATTGAAAAAGACCTTTCCTGTACATTTCTAAAACTCCTTTCCTATAATTCACTTCCAGGGGAAACCAAAGTGTAGTTTCCAAATAGGCAAGGGAAAAGAACAAGAAACAGAGACAAAACCAACAGTGGTTGCTCTTCCCACAGCATATTCTGAGTCTAAATCATGCCCAAGCTGAGAAAAGGAAAAAATTTAAATTGCATAAGAAGAGTTTGGATTTGTAATATTACACCGAACTTTGTGTTACCTAAAAATAGCTACTTATTACAAGAGAATGCCAGAAAGGCATTAGTAAAAAGAAATCTACCTGGAAGTTCATTCAGGGCAAGAAAGTACTATTTTGACAGGATACGTTTAAAGGGAAATATGAAAGAATAAAATTGTTTCTGTTTACTGAGTTCAACTATTCAATTAATCAGTATTGAAATTTAGAAAATCCCCTTCTCACATTTGGTTTTCAACTGCATTTTCTTGCTAGGGACTCAGAAATCCCATTTTTGTGGTCAAAGGTTGAGCTTTGATCCTTTGGTATTTATTCCTTTTGTGATAGCTAGTCCTTTCCTACACGTTTAGATAGAATTGGGGGTGGTCTAGTTTGTAGAAGTACAAAAAAAACCCAGGATATTAATTTCAAAAACATCTTTTACTGCAGTCTAGCCTGGGTAACAGAGCAAGACCCTCTTTCAATAATAATAATAATACCATCATCATCATCATCATCATCAATCTGTCATGTGTCTTAAAATTCTTTCCATAAGAATCTTAGGAAACAGGATTGCTATCCCTTTTGCATAAATGAGGTAACCAAGACTCAAGGCAGGCTAAGTAGCTTTCCAAAGGCCACTCAAGTGTGAGTAGTGGAACTGGGGTTTAAAGCAAGGTCTGTCTTATTCTAAACACTATGCCCTGTCCTCTACACATATTGCTTCACACTCATATATGTATAAATATGTTGCCTTTTTAATTAACCTATTTGTTCATATAAATACTGTAACATTTTTCTCAGCAACTGTATATTTTCCCACAGGATAATTAATCACAAATAAATATCTTTATTTTAAATATTATTTGAGGATTTTTGAAAGTTACTGAAAGATTTAGAAAATACCACTAACTAGTTTGTTCTTGTTATAGAGTGATGACAGTAGCAAATCAAAATGTGTCTCCAAAAGCAAAGTGTGCTTCAAATTCAGAATCAGGTAATAAATATGAAACTAATTATTTTCTGTAGTAATTGTAATACTTCTGTTAAAATACATGGTTCTGTATTTATTTTTGCTACCTGCAACATGCATTATTAACAAAGTTAGTAGCCCAGTGAACCGAGTACTTTTTAGTTTGGTTGTATTTAAGAAATGAAGATATGTGGGATCAGAAAGTGGGTCTTAACTATCCCCACAGCATCAATCATTTATTCATTTAATAAACATTTAATGAATATGAACTCCATACTAGACATTGTTATGTATACTAGTGGAAGTGATGCACTTTTCCTTCCCTTGTAGATTTCAGTTGTAGGAGAGAACAATAAGTAAACATATATTGTAGTTATGCATAATGATTGAAAAATAAAGGAATCACCAAAGTGTCTTGCATTATTAACCCTTATGTAGTTTACAATTAGGATAAATTTAGCAAGACATTTACATCCTAATTAACCTCTGCTGTATCTCAGATTTTTCTGTGTTTCCTGCATCAAGTTTTATAGCATCCATTTGAGAGTAAACTTGAAGAATTTCTGATTTTGCTGTTGATGGTTGTAAATGTTTGTATGAATATATATTTGCATAATCTTCATTTTAAGAAGTTATCTTAATGAGCATTTACTAAATGCCACACATTAAGTTAGGAACTGTATGTATAAAACAATTAATATACTTTCTGTTCTAAGCAAAATTAGTCTAGTGATGAAAACTAATCTTGTAAAAGCACAAAATCCTTGGAAGGAGCAATACCTTCTACCCCGGAGGGTTAGCATTGGAAGAAGGGTTTGTTTTACATATCAAAGAATAAGGGAATGTGTGAATAACAGATGAGCACTAATTAAAAAGAAAGTGGTAAGTGTACCAAAAACAACCATGATTTTACCTAGGTTTTGCCCAATAAAAAGTGTCGCTTTAGCTGTGGAAAATATTTACAAAGCTTCATGGTAGGGCAGAATAGGGATTCTTGAATTCTGTATGTTTTTGTATCTTTACTTTTATATGGTAACTTAAAATTTAAAATTAAATAAGTCACTTCTGACTCTAGAGATTTTTTTACACATTTCTTTAAAAAATTTTTTTATTAACATTTGTGGATACGTAGATGGTATATATGTTTATGGCTTACATGAGATATTTTAATACAGGTATTTGATGCATAATAATCGTATCAGGGTAAGTAGGGTATGCATGCCCTCAAGCATTTATCCTTTGAGTTACAAATAATACAGTTATACTCTTAGTTATTTTTAAATGTATAATTAAATTATTTTTGACTACAGTCACCCTGTTGTGCTAGCAAATACTAGGTCTTATTCATTCTTTCTAACTATTTTTTTTGTACCCGTTAACTATCCCCACCTTCCCTACAAACCACTCACCCTCCCCAACTATCCTTCCCAGCCTCTGGTAACCATCCTTCTATTCTCTGTCTCCATGAGTTCAATTGTTTTGATTTTAGATCCCACAAATATGTGAGAATAAGCGATGTTTGTCCTTCTGTGCCTGGTTTATTTCACTTATCATAATGACCTTCAGTTTCAGTCATGTTATTGTAAATGACAAGATCTCATTCTTTTTTATGGCTGAATAGTACTCCATTGTGTTTATGTACCACATTTTCTTTATCCATTCATCTGTTGATGGACACTTAGGTTGCTTCCAAATCTTGGCTGTTGTGAATAGTGCTGAAACAAATGTGGGAGTGCAGATACCTCTTTGATATACTGATTTCCTTTCGTTTGCATATATACTCAGCAGTAGGATCGCTGGATCATATGATATCTCTGCATATATACTCAGCAGTAGGATCGCTGGATCATATGATATCTCTATTTTTATGTTTTCGAGGAACCTCCCAACAGTTATCCATAGTGGTTATATTAATTTACATTCCTACTAACAGTATACAAGGGTTCCCTTTTCTCTGCATCCTCACCAGCATCTGTTATTGGCTGACTTTTGGATGAAAGCCATTTTAACTGGGGTAAGATGATATGATATTGTAGTTTTGATTTGCATTTCTCTGATGATCAATGATGTTGAGCACCTTTTCATATACCTGTTTGCCACTTGTATGTCTTCTTTTGAGAAATATCTGTTTAGGTCTTTTGCTCATTTTTAATTGGATTATTAGATTTTTGTTTTTCCTATAGAGTTGTGTGAGCTCCTTATATATTCTGGTTATTAATCCCTAATTAGGTGAAGTAGTTTGCAAGTATTTTCCCCCATTCTATGGGTTGTCTTTTCACTTTATTGATTGTTTCCTTTGCTGTGCAGAAGCATTTTAATTTGATGTAATCTCATTTGTCATTTTGCTTTGGTTGTCTGTGTTTGCGGGGTATTACTCAAGATATCATTGCCCAGCCCAATGTCCTAGAGACTTTCCCCAATGTTTTTTTTTTGTAGTAGTTTCATAGTTTGAGGTCTTAAAGTTTTTAATCCATTTTAATTTGATTTTTCATATGGCAACAGACAAGGGTCTAGTTTCATTCTTTTCCATGTAGCTATCCAGTTTTCCAAGCACCTTATTAAAGAAACTGGCCCTTCCCCAAAGAATGTCCTTGGCACCTTTGTAAAAAAATGAGTTCAGTGTAGATGTACAGATTTATCTATGGGTTCCCTTTTCTGATTCCTTGGTCTACGTGTCTGTTTTTTATGTCAGTACCATGCTGTTTGGGTTACTGTAGTGCCATAATATAATTTAAAGTCAAGTAATGTGATTTCTCAGTTTTGTTATTTTTGCTCAGGATAGCTTT